CATCGACTTGACAAGACAAATTTTGGCATGGTAAACTTGGCGGATAATTTAATGTGACGTCAAAGATGATAGCAATACCTGAAAGATCTGTTTTGTCGCATTGAAGGCTATATGTATAGTCATAGGTAAATATAAACAACAAAAATTAATTAAAAAAGAAAATTACTTGCGGCGACGGCGACCTTTGAGACCGGTTGCTGGTAAACTGAAGATGCCGATGACGCTGATGGATCCTTTGGCAGCACCGATTTGTTGTTGCAGCTAAAATATATTGAACATTATGAATTAATATTAAAGATAAAAATTACAGAAACAGCAGTTAATTCCCGGTTGGTGATGGATGCCGCGGCACGCTTTTTTCCGTATCCAGGTGGCAACATGTACGAAGTACTTAACGAAGTAAGTGAGTTTTCTAATAAAGACTACATATGTATAACAAAAACAATAAATAAACACTAACTAGCATCTTGTAATGCTGCGATGGCAGCAGTGTTGCTGATGTTGTTGGTGTTGTTGATGATGTTAAAATCGCCTTTTGATACATAAAGTGGAATGAGTGAAAGAACAACTGTACACGCGACAGCTAATAGTGCCAGTGCAAAAAGACCAAGTGCAGAAAATCTATATAATTAGTAGAAGATGATAAAATACACCAGATACACTCAAAACTCACTTTCGAGAACGTTTTAATTTTAGATGAGCCATGGCTTTGAGTCAATTGTAGGTGCGTTGTCTTGTAATGAAGAAAAATCTGAAATGAAGCTCTATATGAAAATTATGTGATGAATAGAAAATAGCTCATGAAATAATATCTAAACACGATTGAATTGAAGCAGCATAGAAGTTCAATACATCTGTTGTGAATCTAAACCAAAGCAAAGAATTAAGCAAATATATATAGAGCGGACACTCGTATATTTTATTCTCTTCACCATTCACTAATTCATAACGCAAACAATTAAATCAATCAAGCAATCAAATATAATGAGCAATTAAATGCAAACAAGCTATTAGATGAAGCAAGCAATTAAATCAAACAAGCAATTAAATCAAACAAGCAATTAAATCAAACAAGCAAT